AAAAAAAAAAAAAACAAATGGTCTGGAAAGCACAGTGTGACGTATTGGCCAATGTATCGATTCGCTCGGTTTAAACCTCTTTGACTTTTTCTTGCGAGGTTTCTTAAAAAAAACATCACGATCTTCAATTACCTCAGTCGGTAATATGAAAGGACGAACTAACCTTTTTTAACGCCACCATGGACGAGATATCTCAGAACAGCATTTTCTACAATTCTATTGACGAGTTTTATCTCGCTTTACAATTCCGTCGTTGCGATGCTACTGACGAGATACCTCTCAATACAGAGGATATTTGCTGTTGATCTAAAATAAAAGACACATGAGATAACTGGTCGCAACAGCGAAATCATAGAACTCGCCAGTAAAATTGCAGGAACAGTCGGTAATGCACCGACGTAGTTCTGGCGAGATATCTCGTCCATGGTAGCGAAAGCTTTAAGAGGAATTGTTCAAATGTGTGCGACGAGAACGTTTGTTGCAAGAAACCGAAAGAAGAAGAAAAAAAGTAAATATATAATCTCGAGAAGTATCGAGTTTAAAATGACACGAGGAGGAAGTCGATTCGCGCAAGAGAAATTACTGCAGCTGGAATTTTGCATTTCTGCGGCCAATGGCAACGCAGCTATGTTCAACTATGAATCCAAGACCTTTTCTCTACAATTTCTTCCCACCTTCGACAGCAACCCAGTTACGAGGGACACACCCTGCGCGCGGAGAAACATGCACAAACTGACGAGACCATTGGAGGCTGGTCGGAATTCGGGGGATGAAAGAAGAGAGGGAAGGAAGAAGACAACGAAAATTGGAGGACGAATCAAAAAGCACTGTCTCGAAAGGCAAGTTCACAGTGCAGCAAGTTCGATACCTTAGGGTCCGCAGCAACAGGCGAAGGGTTTCCGAAAGTACGATCAATCGCGGTAATGGGAAGCGAGAATCGATGTAACGAGACGCGACAGCGTAGCCGAAGGCGGAAAATACTTTGAAATTACGGGGAGGAGGAGGAGGAGATGGAGGGAAGTTACGAGACGCGAGAAACGACATAGAGGAAGCGAGTGACGCCGGTTTTCTCTCGACAAAGGTGTCGAGCTCTATGCGTACACGGTAATGGGAAAATGGAAACGGGGCTTCTAGCGTTCGCTGCCGCACAGGATGAACGACTGCTCCTATATATATTGGCCGCTCTACTCAAACATCGACGATTCTCTTTCAATACCTTTTGAATATCCTGCTCCCGACATTTTCGATTCAATTACCTGCCTGTCTGTTTTTCGGACTTGTTGCCGACCAAAACGAATATCTCCGTTATGGTAGCGAGTTTTCCAAATCAATAGGGCAGATCAACGAATAACGTCTTCATTGACTGGAGCATCGAATTTAGCGGTGATTAAATTCTTTCTATTCCATGTTAAGGTGAATGTTTGTGATGCAGCAAATTATAAAGATGCACTCTTTTCTTTTTCTGAATGAAATCCCGATGAAATTGGTTATTTCGAGCACTTTAGTTCTAACAATTACACAATTTACACAAGCTTTCATTTTCACGTTTTA